GCGACGTTGTGGTTAGCAGTCACGCGCTCTGCCGGCTGAGATACGAAACCGTGATACCTCGCTCTTCAGCTTGCAGTAGAGATGGGCGCAGGGGTGGTGCGATCGGGAACAAAACCAGGAGCGGGAATCGTGACGGTAAACGTCACTGATATTGTGATCGGCGCTTGCCCCACTGGTCTGGTGGTTCCGAGCGCCGACTGCACTGAAAGTATTCATAATGTGCGTCTTCGGGGAGTCGAAACTGGGTAGTGTGGTGTTTGGTGGGGTGATTGTTGATTCAGAATACGGTGGTTCGAGCCCACCTCCTGCCAACTTCCGAGATACCACTGGTGGACGACCTAGGTGGGAGTGACACCCCGAGCTGCAGGAACATAGGTACAATCCGGTAGATAGACAGAGTCGAAGGATGGAGCGTAGGTGGGATAGTAAGTAGGAATGGGTATGACAGTTGTAAGGTCACAACGCGAAGGTAGGAGAAACGAGGGTAGGGGTATAATCTGATAGCACAGAAGACTGTTGGTTGGATGTGAGCAAAAGTAAGGATGCGAGTTACCATGTTAGGTCGCCCACACAACGTGTGATATGGTGCGGATGGCCGAATTAACGCATTGACACATCCACCTTCTCCCCGAATCACACAAAAGGCAAGAACAGCGACTGGGTTCATTCGTTACAGGGATTTGCGGCGCGGGGACACTCCCCTTTGTCTGCACTAGGAACCGGTCTGAACGGCCACAACTTTCTCCTAACCACTAGCCGCTATTAACCAAAATGAACCGCGGCTGGTCATTTTTGTTATGATGAATATTTGGTAGCTTGCCCGAGTGGTTAAGGCGGTATACAAGAAATCTATTGGGCTTTGCCCGCACTGGTTCAAATCCAGTAGCTGTCGATGAGGGTACAAGCGGATGTTATAGAAGGCCAGTTCTGGTGGTATCCTGGTGATGTTGGCATCGTGAATGATACGGCAACTACATACCAAGACGGGCTCAAAAACATTGGCTGTTTGGTCTAGTGGTATGATTCTTTCTTAGGGTGGAAGAAGACCCGGGTTCAATTCCCAGAACCCAGAACAGCCCTTGGCTGGAGTGGGACTCGAACCACCGAATTCTAGGTCGTCGCAGATATTGTGGTCGACGCTCACCCCAGTGCGTCGGCGTTTGACCCGAGGTCGTTGGAGTCTTGACACAAAGCCTTAAAACACACCCCATTGGGCTACGCAGGCATTATAATCAGCTCCATTACTGTCTGGACTATCTGTGGTCGGATCAGCAGCTGTCGGACCAAGCTGAACGTGTCGGGTATGTGGCGCACGAGCTGGTGTGATAGTGCGATGTTTTGTGGTTATTGGTAGGTCGCAAAGGGAATCGAACCCAGATTTGGAGATTCAGAGACTCCAGTTCTAACCATTACACCACGCCACCGTTCCTGAAGGGACCCTTGAAGATTTCTTCATTGCTACGCGTCGCCCGATCGTACCACCACATCTTTACTGCAAGATGAAGGGCGAGTTAGCGTGGTTTCGTAGCTCAGTCGGCAGAGCGTGTGGCTGTTAACCACAAAGTCCCAGGTTCGATCCCTGCCGAAACCGATTGCACACCAATAGCAGTCTTTCTACCCGTCTCACCACTCCTTCTTTGAACCTCTCGGTTCCCGCTCCGGTC